CCCGCAATCAAACCCAGCAACTCATCCTTGCGGGCGCAGTGCCCCCGGGACGGCCATTATGAACCCAGAGAGAGAGAGAGAGGAGATATATTATATAGATGACATAAAGAGAGCGAGAGAGAGATATTCAAAACGCAGGAATGTAAACCCTGGGAACCTTCGTCAATGCCGCCCTCTGAATGTGACACCGCTGTTAGGACGAGCCTCGTGAGAGAGGGGGGAGGGACACTCGCGGGGGGACTCCGCACCCGGCATCTCGGTGGCTCCGACACGGCCACCACGAGCCCCTTGAGACAACACAGAGACACCCGTCCCACGTGTACGTACCACCGCATGTTGAACTTCTTTCGCGCCGTACGTAGCACAACCGCGCTAATCGGAGGTGCGGGGGCGGGGAGGTGGGGGGAAGGACATCAAACTAAACACGAGAAGCAAAGAGAAATGATTTTGCAATCTAGATGATGATGTAAAAGTGCAAAGCTCCAAGCGGCTTCATAATTTTTGTGCGGCCGTCTGGAACGCTCTTCCTTCCGATGTTGGGAAGCCATTGGAGCTGCGCACTTTTAAATCATCATCTAGATCGACAAACTCATTTCTTTGAAGTTGCTTTTCGTGTTTGGTTTGTTGTCCTTCCTGCGCACCTCCGATTTAGCACGGTTGGCTACGCACGGTGCGAAAGAAGTCCAGCATACACGCAGCGTACGGAAGGAAAGGCGGCTTTCCAGACGGCCGCAGAAGCGCCCCTGAAAGCGCGCGACGCGGTGACCGCCTCTGTGCGATGGCTGAGCCAGAAGCCGCCGCCGCCGCCGCCGTTGCATCTGCGAGTGCGACGGAGTTAGCGTGACTGTTTGCACTCGGTTGACATGGGGTTTGTCATCGGCGCTGGCCGCGTGAATCCGGCACGGCCGTTGTGAGTCCAGGACACTCGGTCCACCGGGGCTTTACACCCAGGATCTCAGCTGGCTACGGGCCCGCACCTCCGATGAGTGTTGGTTGGTTACGTACGCTGCGAGAAAAGAGGTGCAACGGACGCACGGCGTCTCCGACGCGGCGATTGCGAGACCGGCATCAGGGCGAAGAGGATGAGCGGGAGATGCAACAACAAAAAAAAGACAAAGATCCCCCGCGTAGCCTTAATTAATATGTGGCAGGACGTGTGAGAAATTGTTTCCGCATGTGTGTGTGGATAATAGGGTCATCTCAGAAGCAGTGCTGTGATATTCGCTTCCACGGGCTGTTTCTTTCAGCGCACGGAGCTGGAAACTTCCATCTCGCGCCACAGATAGCAGAATCAGATTAAACTTAAAAAAAAAAACTCAACCAACTATATAAAAGACGAAATACAAAAAGCAGAAGTAGCTCTCTATTTGATTTCACGCTGCTTCCGATGAGAGCTACAGATGGAAACGTATTCGTTGCATCACACCAACGGAATAAAGAAATATATATATATACACACTGTTGGGGCAAGTGCTGTTAGAGAGCACATATGGAGGCCGGGGGTGGGTGGCCAACACCACGCCCGGCCGCCTTTGTCTCCCCAGTGGCGATGTTTTTTTCGTTTCTACACACCGCACCAGGTTCTCATTTGAGGCCGAGTCGACCTAGGGGAGGCCCAGGACCCGTTCAGATAATCGTCACCGGTGTTGGCCGTGAGCAGGAGTCGAACTCGTGTCGCCAGGGGTTCGCAGCAGTAGCAGCAGCAGCAGGAGCAGCAGCAGCAACAGCAGCAGCAGGAGCAGCAGCAGCTGGAGCAGCAGCAGCAGCAGCAGCATCAACAGCAGCAGCAGCAACAGCAGCAGCAGCAGGAGCAGCAGCAACAGCAGCAGCAGCATCAGCGCTAACCGCTACGCCGCCCGCCGCTTCCCGCAACTCGGAGGCGAAATTTTTGTTGTAACGCTGTCAAACAACATCGTCATTTGCCGGGCAGCCGGCTCTGTGACTCACAGACAGTGGCCATTGTGAGCAGGGCCCACCCCACCCGGTGTGGTTGAGCACTGCCCCACCGGTGGCTACGTGCACCCCCCCTCCCCCCCCATTGTTGTCATCGTCTGCGTCATCGTCATCATCATCATCATCGTCGTCGTCGTCATCGTCGTCGTCGGCCTGTCGAGCACGCCGTTTGACCGGCGAGGCAGGTTCCGTGCCGCCTTCACGGTCCCCGCCTCTCCGTGTCTCGGTGTCTGAATTACGATGATTGTGCGTGGCCTTTGTCCCGCCGGCTATGGTTTCTCGCGCACGTGTGCGTTGTGCGTGCGCGTTGTGCGTGTCGGGTGCGGTGATGACCACCTACCCCCCCCCCCCCCTCGTGTGCTGTGCCTGCCTTGATAGGTGCTGCTCGCTACAAGCACTTTCCCCAACAATCTGTGAAGGCTATAGGGGGGATCTTTGTTTTTTTTGCGTGTGTTGGGAGCGGTGGTGGAGCGGTTAGCGCGCTGCACTACCAACCCTGCGACTCGGGTTCCATTCCCGCTCACGGCCAACACCAGCGACTATTATCTGAACCGGTACTGGGCCTCCCCTAGGTCGACTCGGCCTCAATTGAGTACCCGGTGCAATTTGTCGCCACTGGAGAGACAAAGGCGGTCAGGCGTGGTGCTGCTCGCCATCAGCCCTTGCCCCTCCAGTCTGGGGGACCTTTGTCTTTGCCCGAGGCTGGACCGCACAGCGGCAAAATCGCGCGCGTGTGTGACACGCAGCGGTCCATGCTGCGCTGTGATAGCCTTGAGCCACACAGGGGCAGCTGACCACGGCGCTTGGGCAAACTGTTGGGTAGCGCCGGATCTGGCTGCCTTCCCGTTCGTCCGTTGTACAAATCGGTTGCTGGCACCCGGACACAGACGCCAATTGTCGGACTGTTCGGTCTAATCTGAAAAGGTGGCGACCCTAGTGGGTGAGTGGCTGGGTGGGTGAGTGGCTGGGTGGGTGAGTGGGTGGGTGAGTGGGTGAGTGGCTGGGTGGGTGGGTGAGTGGGTGGGTGAGTGATTCGGTGAGTGGGTGGGTGGGTGAGTGGTTGGGTGAGTGGGTGGGTGGGTGAGTGGGTGCGTGGGTGGGTGGGTGAGTGGGTGGGTGAGTGGGTGGGTGGGTGAGTGGGTGGGTGGGTGAGTCGGTGGGTGGGTGGGTGCGTGAGTGGGTGCGTGAGTGGGTGCGTGAGTGGGTGCGTGAGTGGGTGGCAGGGATTCCACCTCTTCCGCAGACCAAAACTCGGAGAGGTTTGTCAGTCAGCACTCGACCTGTGCAGTTAACTGCCATGGGGGAAAAAAAGTGCAATGCTATACCACAAGATGTTGGAACAAATCAATTCCTGCCAACCAAACACAGATGCCAATTCAAACCTGTTATACAGGTGGGTGGGTGGGTGGGTGAGTGGGTGGGTCAGTGAATAAGTGACTGATGGGCTGGACCGGTGTCAACCATAGTGGGTGGGTGGGTGAGTGGGTGGGTGAGTGGGTGGGTCAGTGAGTGAGTGAGTGGTCAGGTGGACAGGTGGCAACCATAGTGGGTGGTTCAATGGGTGGGTCAGTGAGTGAGTGAGTGATCAGGTGGATAGGTGGCAACCCTTTTCAATGGTCAGAAGTTTAAATCTGAGAGCTGAGTTTGCACCAAATTCATGACAGCTGCTTCTAACAGAACTAACGCTCAACCTCACGGACGCCGATTACCTCACACAGAGACCCATAGACTCACACGGAGACTCATAGATTCACATAGAGACCCATAGAATAACACGGAGATCCGTAAACTTACATCGAGACCGATAGACTCACATAGAGATCCATAGACTTACACGGAGATCTATAGACTCACATAGAAACCCATATTATCATACAGAGACCCATAGACTCACACGGAGATCCATAAACTTACATCGAGACCGATAGACTCACATAGAGATCTATAGACTCACATAGAAACCCATATTGTCACACAGAGACCCATAGATTCACACAGAGACCCATAGACTCACACGGAGATCCATAAACTTACATTGAGACCGGTAGACTCACATAGGGACCCAAAGACTCACACAGAGACCCATAGATTCACACAGAGACCCATAGACTCACACGGAGATCCATAAACTTGCATCGAGACCGGTAGACTCACATAGAAACCCAAAGACTCACACAGAGACCCATAGATTCACACAGAGACCCATAGATTCACACAGAGATCCAAAGACTCACATGTAGACCCACAGACTCACGTGGAGACCCACAGACTCACATGTAGACCCACAGACTCACATCGAGACCCACAGACTCACATAGACATCCATATATTCACACGGAGACCCATAGACTCCCACGGAGATCTATAGACTGACACAGAGACCGACATAGAGACCCAAACTCGACCACGCGGCAACATGTGGCGGTTTTCTCTTCGATTGGCTAAATCCCAGGCGGCAATGCGAGGCAACAGCGGCGTTGTGGGCGCCGCGTTGGTGAACTCTGACCTCTAACCTCTTCACCCTCACCTTACAACGGCGATGACAGTCGCCCCCCCTCTGCTACGACAATCGCTCACCGCCCCCTACCCACACCCCTGGTCCTCCCCCCCCCCAACCCAATCCCCGCTTGTCACCACCACCACCACCGCTTGTCACCACCACCGCCACCGCTTGTCACCACCACCGCCGCTTGTCACCACCGCCACCGCTTGTCACCACCACCGCCACCGCTTGTCACCACCACCGCCGCTTGTCACCACCGCCACCGCTTGTCACCACCACCGCCACCGCTTGTCACCACCACCGCCGCTTGTCACCACCGCCACCGCTTGTCACCACCACCGCCGCTTGTCACCACCACCGCCGCCACCGTTACGCCCCGTGCCGTTTTCCCCGCTCCGTGGTCGATGCAGTCTCTGCCGCCCGTCGTTTGACACTCGCACGCTTTGACCGCCCCCCCCCCCCCCCGTCGTCGTCCCCCCCCCCCCCCCGTGCCCTTCGCTGCGTGATTTTTTGTTGCCGTGTGTTTTCTCCCTTCCGCTCGCAGTCTCGCGATCTCTTTGAGATGATAGAGAAGATGCAGGTATGTCCACGCTGCCTCGTCCCTCACCTTCATCCACTTCGCTGCGGGTACATGCGTGCCCACCGTTTCGTTTCAGATTCGAATCGAACCGAATACTTTTTTATTTTGTTTTATTAACGGGCGGTCTCCGGTTTTACGACGGTCCCATTTATGACGATCCACTCCTTAAATTTCGATTTAAAGCTTTCGTGACTGCAGGGATTCATCTTCTTGGTTCTTTCGGTAAAGTCACGTAGAATGGAAATAATAAAATAATAAAAATAAAACATAATAAAATAATTCTCACGACGTTTCGGCCACAACGCAAGCAGCTGTCCTCATGTGGAGAACAGGTCTGTGGTGAGTGGGTGAGTGGACAGACCTGTTCTCCACCTGAGGACGGCTGCTTGCGTTGTGGCCGAAACGTCGTGAGAATTATTTCATTATGTTTTATTTTTAGTCTGTCAAGTAGACAGACATGTTCTCCACCTGAGGACGGCTGCTTGCGTTGTGGCCGAAACGTCGTGAGAATTATTTTATTATGTTTTATTTTTAATTATTTTATTATTTTCCTTCTACGTGACTTTACCGAAAGAACCAAGAAGATGAACCCCTGCAGTCACGAAAGCTTTAAATCGAAATTTGATGTCTCTACCGCTCCGGTTGTTTATGGTAAAAACAACGAAAAGGAACGGGGGTCCGGTTTTTGCGTCGGCGGTGTCCGGGAGCGCCTCGCGACGCCGTGGAGCCGGGGACAGCCTGCGTTCACTTTTACTTTGTGGCATTCGCCACCGATGTGGGAGATCTGCCGAGAGGCTAACAGCTGGTTCGTCCGCATGCACCAACTAACTACGAACTAATGACAATCTCTTTTTTTTATTCTTAGTCTTATATTGTTCTTTTTTCTATTATTGTTCTCAATTTTCGTTTTTTTATTTGCATATATCGTTTTTTTTTATTTTGCATATATTGTTTTTTATTTTGCATATATTGTTTGTTATTTTGCATATATATTTTTTTGCATATATATATCTTTTTTTTTTACCAGGGTAATGCCCACTGAGCGATAACAGGTATTTTTTAAAGGCGACCTAGCCACCACAAATGGATAGCTCAATGAAGTGGCTTAGCATCATCGCGTGGAAATTTGTAGCAGCAGCCAAATCACTCGATAAACACGCGCTGGTTGTTGATTCTAAATGCGGAGGGGACACAAAAAAGCGGAGGAGCCGGGGAAAAATCCACGCGACAAGAGAGAGAGACACGCAAACTCCAAATACACAGCAGCAGGCGTCAGGGTCGGGATCGAACCCACGACCTCCTGTGTACCAGGCGAGGTAGTTAACATCTCTTAGGCACCGTGATGATGATGAGAGAGAGAGAGACACGCAAACTCCAAATATACAGCAGGCGTCAGGGTCGAGATCGAACCCACGCCCTCCTGTATACCAGGCGAGGTAGTTAACATCTCCTAGCCACCGTGATGATGATGAGAGAGACACGCAAACTCCGAATATACAACAGGCGTCAGGGTCGGGATCGATCCCACGACCTCCTGCACACCAGGCGAGGTAGTTAACATCTCTTAGGCACCGTGATGATGATGAGAGAGGGAGACACGCAAACTCCAAATATACAACAGGCGTCAGGGTCGGGATCGATCCCACGACCTCCTGTACACCAGGCGAGGTAGTTAACATCTCCTAGCCACCGTGATGATGATGAGAGAGAGAGACACGCAAACTCCAAATATACAGCAGCAGGCGTCGGGGTCGTGATCGAACCCACGACCTCCTGCACACCAGGCGAGGTAGTTAACATCTCCTAGCCACCGCGGCGCCCCTGACATCCTTGGCAGGAACCCTCCTGTGAAATAGTCACGAGACTCCGTGAGCATTTCCAGGGGAGACAAGCGAAGTAATGGTAAAGATGAAGAAATGAGAAGTCAATATATCCTTGCCAGCTAACAGGGACTCCCGCCTGCAGCCCCAGGCCTGAGACCCTAGGCCCGAGACCCGCCCAGGTTCAATAATCCAGGGGGGTCACGGTGGTCCTGCAACTGTGGAGAGCCAAGCGGAGGTCACATCCCTGGGCAGTTGTTCAAAGTTCACAATCCCACTACCCGCCAGCGTCAATTCACTGCTGTATTATGTGTGACGATGTGCCCTGTGTGATGATGGTGGTGTGTGTGTGTGATGAGGTGTGGGGAGCGGTGGTGTAGCGGCTAGCGCTCTGCTGCACTACGAACCTGGCGACCCGAGTTCGATTCCCGCTCACGGCCGACACCAGTGACGATTATCTGAACCGGTCCTGGGCCTCCCCTAGGTCGACTCGGCCTAAAATAAGTACCTGGTGCGGTGTGTGTAAACATCGTCACCGGGGAGACAAAGGCGGTCGGGCGTGGTATTGGCCACCCCCTCAAGTGCCGTGCCGGCCTTTATTGGTGCTCGCTAACAGCACTTGCCTCAACAGACTGTCAAATCAATACAGGGGATCTTTGTCTTTGTGTGCGATGATGTGTGTGTGTGACAATGATGGTGTGTGTGTGTGTGACAATGATGGTGTGTGTGTGTGTGACAATGATGGTGTGTGTGTGTGTGACTATGATGGTGTGTGTGTGACAATGATGGTGTGTGTGTGTGTGACAATGATGGAGTGTGTGTGTGTGACAATGATGGAGTGTGTGTGTGTGACAATGTGTGTGTGTCACACAGTGTGCTGTGCGATGTCTGTGATGTATGGTGTGTGGCGATGATGATGATGGTGTTTGTGATGATGTGTGTTCTGTGTGACTGCATGCTGCGCGATGATGAAGATGACGACGATGACGGTGTGACGACTTAAGTCCTCTGTCATTGTGTGCTGCGCGATGACTACGATGACGACGGCGACGATGACGGTGGCTGACCACGTGTGTTGCTATTCCACAGGGCAACAGGATAGATGACCAAAGGTGCCCCATGCCCAAGCCCAGGGTGAGTACCGAGCATCGCCACCACCAGATCCACAACCCCGTCTTGCACACCGCAACAACCGCAGATCCAGGTGGGAGGGTGGGGACGATGGGGGCAGAGTCACCACCACCACTCCCCTCCCCTTCCCACCTGAAGATCCCCAATAATGAGTATATTTATATCCTTTGGTTCTTTCGGTAAAGTGACGTCGATAGATAAAAATGAAGTGAATAAAAACAAACAAAAAAACAAAAGCAAAGGAATAGGAATTCCTGCAGTCGCGAAAGTTCTACGTCGAAATTGGACGAGTATATTTCTGACACGAAGGAGGCTTTCGCGACCGCCGTTCCGATTCGCGACTGGTTTGTGCAGGGCGACATCGCCGCGGTACGCAGGGCTCTAGGAAACACTCACCCTGACCGCCTGCTCCCCTCTTACACCCCTCTCTCCTCCTCCACCCACCCCCCTCCTCCTCCCATCCCCTGTCGTTGCAGTCGGAGGATGACTACATCCCCTACCCCAGCGTCCTCGAGGTACGTCGCTCGCGCGCGTCCGAGCGCTCCGTGGGGGTCGCGGTTCGGATCCGGCGGGCCTAACCGGGTCGCCACGGTTGGCGAGATGTTAACTACCTCGCCTGGTATACATGAAGGTCGTTCGTGGGTTTCGATGCCGACCCTGACGCCTGCTGCTGTGTATTCGGAGTCCCTCTCTCTCGTCTCTCTCTCTCTCTCTCTCTCTCCCCGTGGTCACGTGGATTTTTCCGCTGGGTCCTCCGGTTTTTTTTCCCTTCACATCTAGAATCAACGTCACGTGCTTATAGAGCATTTGGCTGCCGCTATAACATTTCCGCACGGTGATGATGATGATGAGCCACTTTCGTTGAGCTTTCATCACGTGTGATGGCCAGATCGCTTCTGAAAAAGAGCCGTTATAGCTCAGTCGGGGGCCTTGCCTGGTAAAAGAAAAAAATGTTTGTAACAAAACTGACACCTTTTTTTGCATTGACCACAATACCTGCAGTCGGAATGCAAAACAAAACATAACTCTGATAGTGTATGCACTGTCCTTGAAACTGATTGGTCCACACCCGAGACAGCTTTCCTTAGAGCCTAGTCTCACATGGCGTTGGACCAGATGACGCCAAAAGGCGCACAGTTTTTTTGCCAGATAAAAGGGTAAAAAAAAACAATTCTCATATTTTGCTACTGGCAAATGAGTTTCCAATGGTGAAAATGTTTGTAGTTTAGTTTTTATTGTCGCGGGAGTATTTAACCGACGGTAGTAGGAGGAACCGTCGGCTCCGCGAGCAGCGGGGACGTTGGCGATGGCCGCGACGTCGTGGGCAAGACGGGGGCTCCCCGCGTGACGTCGTCGCCAATCCGAATTTTGCCCGACGACAAAAAACAAAATAGTCGTCACGAAACGACGCCGCGGGTTACTCTATCGGGATTACACATGGAAACGTCGCTCCCTCCCTCCCTTCCTTCCCCACCACCACCCCTCCTTCGCTACCTCCCCCCCCACACCTGCGAAAACTCGTGGACAAACACACACGCACGCAAAGCCTCATCATAAAATTGCAGTCATCGTAGCAATGACGATTGCGCAAAACCGCGCGACGCCTAAAACCGCGCGACGCCTAAAACCGCGCGACGCCTAAAACCGCGCGACGCCTAAAACCGCGCGACGCCTAAAACCGCGCGACGCCTAAAACCGCGCGACGCCTAAAACCGCGCGACGCCTAAAACCGCGCGACGCCTAAAACCGCGCGACGCCTAAAACCGCGCGACGCCTAAAACCGCGCGACGCCTAAAACCGCGCGACGCCTAAAACCGCGCGACGCCTAAACCAGGCCACCAACCGACCTTCTGGATCGCAGCAGCAGCAGCAGCAGTAGCGGCCTCACCCCACGTACGCCGCAAAACAGAAATGAAGGCGAGACGGATGGAAGCGAGAGTCCGGGCTGCGGGTGGGGACCCCCTACCGTCGAACCTCCCCGGTTTGAACGTTCTTGAACGTTCCACACCGCCAATGATCGACCATCAACCGAATCGGGAGCGGCGGTGCGGGGGCGGGGGGCGTGGGATTCGGTCGATTGTCGACCATCAACCGAATCCTTGCGCCGTTGCTGCCACCTTCGCTCCCTTTAAAGGGACGAATGGGCGAGATCCGCTCTGCTCCTGAAGCAGGCGATTGGAGTGGCGCATCTGAAATGACATCTTTTGATCTCTTCTCATTGAATCCCGCATGAAAGAAGTTCGCAATAACAAAGCGACGAACACGCCGGCGCGTCCGTTGTTGGCGGTGCCGACGGCGTTGTGGCCGGCGCCGTGGGTCGGCTCCTGCAGAACTGGTCAGCTGTTAAGAGGCGAATCCTCGCAGAGCGACCGGCAGTGAGTTCCACGTAAATGGGGCCGGATACCGCGGACGTGAGTCAGTGAGTGGGCGGGCGGGCGGTTGATCGAGCAGGCGGGCTGGCAAGCGGGTGAACGAGCGGGTGGGTGAGTGAGTGAGATGTTGAGTAAGCAGGTGAGTGGGTGAGTCAGCGGGTGATTGGGTGAGCAGGTGAGTGAGTGAGTGGGTGGGTGAGTGTGTGAGCAGGTGAGCATGTACGCGAGGGAGTGATGGGGTGGATTAGTCGGTGAGTGAGCAATTGAGCGGTTGAGTGAGCAGGTGAGTGGGTGAGTCAGCGGGTGATTGGGTGAGCAGGTGAGTGAGTCAGTGGGTGGGTGAGTCGGTGGGTGGGTGGGTGAGTGTGTGAGCAGGTGAGCATGTACGCGAGGGAGTGATGGGGTGGATTAGTCGGTGAGTGAGCGATTGAGCGGTTGAGTGAGCAGGTGAGTGGGTGAGTCAGCGGGTGATTGGGTGAGCAGGTGAGTGAGTCAGTGGGTGGGTGAGTCGGTGGGTGGCTGAGTGTGTGAGCAGGTGAGCATGTAAGCGAGGGAGTGTTTGAGTGGATTAGTCGGTGAGCGAGCGGGTGAGTGCAGGAGCGAGGCGGCGAGTTAGTGGGTAAGTGGGTGAGTGAGTTCAACGACGCGTCACCTTCCCCGCGTTTGGGGGAGGCTGCGAGGGCCAGGTTTTTTGTTTCCCCGCGTGTCACGACTTTGGGCTCACGACTCGCACACGCCAGGGGGGGGGGCGGGGGGAAGAGCGATCAATGTAGCTCATGATGTGGCCCGGGGATGATGAAAAGGGCCCAAGCCTCTTCATTTATTCAGCGGGGGCGCAATTGGGCGTGCGCCTAATTGCAAGCTGAGATTGGCCGCTGTGCCGCTAGCCGCCCTCGCTCCCCGTGCGCTCGTGAGCGGAGGAGCGCACGCGGGATGCGTCGTCGTGTTTACCCGGGGAACGCATTCACACGTACACACACACGCAAAGACAAATATTCCCCGTATAGCCTTAACAGACTGTAGGGGCAAGTGCTGTTAGCGAGCACCTATGAAGGCCGGGACGGTACACCAGGGGGTGGTTGGGTGGCCAGCACCACGCCCGGCCGCTTTGTCTCCCCAGTGGCGATGTTTACTCACCTCACCAGGTACTAATTTGATGCTGAGTCGACCTAGGGGAGACCCAGGACCGGCTCAGATAATCGTCACCGGTGGTGTTGGTGGCCGCGAGCGGGAATCGAACCCGGGTCGCCAGGTTCGTAGCGCAGCGCGCTAAAGGCTACACAACCGCTCCCCACTACCCCACACACACAGACACACACAGACACACGTCGTGTGACCGTGCGCGTGTGTGTGTGTGTGTCCCAGGTGCTACAGCGGGAGCCCCCCTACCCGTCCGTGATACTTCCCCAATTCGGGGGCTACTGGATCGAGGGGGCGGAGCGGCGGGGGAGCCACATCCCCGAGGGGGAGGGGCCGCCCGCCACCCCCGCCCCCTCGCCGGACTCCGCCCCCTCCCCCGTGGACCCCCTCGCCATCGAGAGCCACCGCACGGCCCACCTCTACCGGCAGCACTTCCTCGGGCAGGTGAGACCTGGCGGGGGGAGGGAGGGGAGGGGGGCATGGGGGGAGGGCTGGATTCTAAAATGTGGAGGGACCACGGGGAGAAAGAGAGAGAGAGACGCATGGGCACTCCAAATATGCAACAGGCATCGTCAGGGTCGGGATCGAACCCAAGCCCTCCTGCATACCAGGCGAGGTTGTTAACTTTTCCTAGCCACCGTGGCGTCTGTATGGGGTATAAGGGCCCATTGCCTGAAACGTCGCCTGTTACATGCAAGGCAGAGACCTTGCTGAGAAGCGAGCGCTAACGGAATCGGCGCTAAAAGGGGTCACCACAGCATCGCATGCATGGGGATGCGTTCCTGGCGGCGTCTGATAGGCTCGGAGCCGTGCTTCGCTCTCATTGGCTGAGCGAATGATGGGGGTGGGGCACGTCTGCCCGGCCGGCGCTGCTGTGCGGCGTTCTCACTCGTAAGCGCTCTGTAGAATATAAAAAAATTCTTTCATTATTTGTTGCCTGTTGTTGTTGTTGGAGAAATCGGCTATGCGCCCGGCAGACACCCCAGTTCGATTCCCGCTTACGGTCAACACCGGCGACGGTTATCTGATCCGGTCCTGGGCCTCTGCTCGGTCGACTCAGCCTCGAATGAGTACCTGGTGCGGTGTGTAAAAACATCGCCACTGGGGAGGAAAAGGCGGCCGGGCGTTGTGTTGTCGTGTGCCGTGCCGGCCTTCATAGGTGCTCACTAACTATACGGGGGATTTCGATTTAAAGCTTTCGTGACTGCAGGGATTCATCTTCTTGGTTCTTTTGGTAAAGTCACGTAGAAGGGAAATAATAAAATAATAAAAATTAACTTAATAAAATACAATTCTCACGACGTTTCGGCCACAACGCAAGCAGCTGTCCTCAGGTGAAGAACAGGTCTGTCGGAAAGACAGCGTCGAAACGTCGTGAGAATTGTATTTTATTATGTTTTATTTTTATTATTTTATTATTTCCCTTCTACGTGACTTTACCGAAAGAACCAAGAAGAAATACGGGGGATCTTTGTCTTTGCGTGCGATGATGTGTGTGTGTGACAATGAGTGTATCATGCGGTGTGCTGTGCGATGTTTGTGATGTATGGTGTGTGACAATATGTCCCGTCTAATAATGACGGCCGCCCACCCCCTCGTGTGCCATGCCGGCCTTCATAGGTGCTCGCTAACAGCAATTGCCCCAAAAATATCTTAAGGCTATACGGGGGATATCTTTGATCTTAGTGACTGTTAAGGCCACACACTCACACAGTTGTTGTTGTTTTGCCGCCATTGACGACGCCGTTGAGTGTTGTCGTTGTAACCACCGTCGGCTATCGCACCGTCGTCCGCACCAGGAGCACTTCAACTACTACGCTGTGGACCCCGCGCTGGGCATCATCATCTTCTCCGTAAAGCATGAGGTCGTGTCGGAGCAGGAGCATCTCCGCATGATCCTCCGGTAACACGCCCGCAACCCCGCGCCAGCGTTGGCCCAGCGTTGGCACGCATGGTGGTCTGAAACGTCGGCCCGACCTTTGCGTCAACGTAAATTAGGCGGGGCAGGGCTGATGCAGCGCAGTGGGTGGCAGACAACAACGAGGTGCTGCGATTTTTCGTACGCGCAAAAAACCGCAGGGTGCACAAGCACAACGTGCCTGCACAATGCTATGTTGATTCCCCTATGAATTACCCAACCGGTAATCAATATCCATTGTAATTGATATGCGTACCTTAACCCCCGCACCTGATTGGCTCACAAGTGATGACGTCACAGCCACTTCCTGTCTATTTAAGAACGAAACAGGAAGAGGGTTTCTCTGCGATTCTGTGGCTGTCGCCTAATGCTGCTGCTGCTGCTGGTGGTTGTTGTTGTTGTAATTACCGGCGAAACGTCACCAGGTACTCGAATTGTAAATGTTGTGGTGGGTTCACTCTCCAACACACAACCGGTTAGTGCTCCACTCGTAACGAATTGGCCACGTTTTGTTTAAGTTACAAACCTTACGAATTGGCCGTGTCGGGTGGCGGCGTGTTCAACGACACATTTATACATTCACGTGACCTACCCACAAAAAAAACACCTCCTCTTCTGTGGGTAACGCTCGCGCCCCGCAGCGACAAGACGCCTGGGTTCAATTCCCCGTCTCGGGACCCCTTTCTGTGTGCAGGTTTCGTACTTTCTCCCAACCCCCCCCCCCCCCCCCCCCCATTCTGCACGGGTTTCCTCTGGTTTTCCTACCCGAGCTGAAGGAAGGAAAATAAAACAAAACCCCTTACAGGGCAACTGGTGCTGCTGGCCATTAAAAGACCCCAGTGCTGCACAAATTGCACTGGAAATTTACTCAACTGGGATCACCGCAGGAGCAATATCGCCCCTCTACCTTGATAACTTAGGCGACACACGGTGACTAGGAGATGTTAACTACCTCGCCTGTTATACAGGAGGTCGTGGGTTCGATCCAAACCCCGACACCTGCTGCTGTATATCTTCTTGGTTCTTTCTGTAAAGTCACATAGAAGGGAAATAATAAAATAATAAAAATAAAACATTCAATAATTTTCACGGCGTTTCGGCCACAACGCAAGCAGCCGTCCTCAGGTGAATGAACACCACCAGGCTTGGCAGCGTATATTTAAGCTGGGTTGGAGGGGGAAGGGCGCCTTGACAAAGTAATTTGCATATCAAGAGGAATTTAGCATATTTATTTTTATTATAATTTTTTCCCTTCTATGTGACTTTACCGAAAAAACCAAGAAGATGAATCCCTGCAGTCACGAAAGCTTTAAATCTAAACCTGCTGTACATTTGGAGTTTGCGTGGTTTCTTTCTCCACTTCGTCGAGCTATCACTCACAGCTCGGTGGGGTCTTACCCCGGTCAATTAAATAAAATAGTTTAGTTTTAACTTGGCAGGACCCTTAACTCTAGATTTGAAGCTTTCGTGACGGCAAGGATTCATACTCTTAGTTCTTTCGGTAAAGTCACGTAGGTGAAAAATGAAATTGAGACTCGGTGACGCTTTCCCCGGGTCAACGAGCAGAATAAACAGGACCCTGCGGGGTGGGCTGGTAGGAATAATACTTAGTACCGGTACAGGGATATCGACCGGGTATAGAGGAGTTAAAGAAAAAAATACTGTATTCTAGTGTAACGTTAATTAAAAGTGTTTGTTTTGACAAGAAAGGCTGTGAGATTTAAAGACCCCCCAACACCACCCTCAACACCACCCCTCCCACCAGCCCTCACCACCACCCCCCACCACCACCCCCCACCACCACCCCCCACCACCACCCCCCACCACCACCCAACCCCACCACCACCACCCCACCACCCCCCACCACCACCTTCTGCACTAGGCCTCGCGAAGCTTGCCGCACTAGGCCTCGCGCCGTGCTTTTTGTGCACAAATAAGGCGATTAAATGTATCTCGTCTCTGTGTTAATACATGTTTCTTGTCTCTGTGTTAAAAAAACGTGCTGCGTTTCAGTAAAGTATTTTTTTTTAAATAAACATGCTGCGTTTCATCTCTGTGTTAAGTTAATAAGCCTGCCGCACTAGGCCTCGCGAAGCGTGCCACACTAGACCTCGCGCCGTGCTTTCTCTGCAGTAGACTTAGCGAAGCCTTCTGCACTAGGCCTCGCGAAGCCTCTGCACTAGGCCTCGCGAAGCCACGCTTTTCGTGCACAAATAAGGCGATTAAATGTATCTCGTCTCTGTGTTAATAAGCCTGCCGCACTAGGCCTCGCGAAGCCTGCCGCACTAGGCCTCGCGCCGTGCTTTTCGTGCACAAATAAGGCGATTAAATGTATCTCGTCTGTGTGTTAATAAATGTTTCTTGTCTCTGTGTTAAAAAAACGTGCTGCGTTTCAGTAAAGTAATTTTGAAGCGAAGTTTAAAGTTTTGCCGTGAGGCGCCGGAAGCGACGGCCATCTTGTTTAATTCACAGATCGCAGGGGGAGCGGGCGGCCATCTTGTCGGACAGGGTCATGCCAAGTGTTTGCAGTAGGGGGCGATGTTGATACACGGACGGACGGACAGTCGGACGGACGGACACATTAATCTATTGGTGGTCTGGTCCACTTCGTTCCTACCAGTATAATAATAATGATGATGATCATAATGACGATCATGAAATAGTTGTCAGTTCGCACCGGAATTGAGGATTGAACTGGAGGCGTTCAGCTTCGTGAGTCAAGGGCGATCTTCCGGCCGTTTGTATTTTGAGACGAGATCTGACGTCAAGGCGCCATTGTTCCGCGCGCGTCTGTGGGCGCGAGCCTCCGCCTGTGAGTGATGCCAAGTCTCCGCAGAGCAATGGCTGCAATTACCTCCCTTAATTATATTTGTGCCGAGCACAAAAGTGTGAGTTTTGCGCGAGGTTTGCCGCTGCAGCTGTGCCTGCGTGCGTGTGTCTGCGTGCGTGTGTCTGTGTGTGCGTGCGTGTGTCTGTGTTTGAATGCGTGTGGGGAGCGGTGGCGCAGTGGTTAGCGCTCGCTGCGTTACGAAATCGGCAGAGACCCGAGTTGGACTCCCGCTCACGGCCAACATTGGCGGCGACTCTTATCTGGACCGGTCCTGGGCCTCCGCTCGGTCGACTCAGCCTCAAAACGAGTACCTGGTCCGGTGTGTAAGCATCGGTACCGGGGAGACAAAGACGGCCTAGCGTGGTGCTGGCCACACACCCCTCCCCCCCCTCTCCCTGTACCATGCCGGCCTTCATAGGTGCTCGCTAACAGCATCTGCCCCAACAGTCTGGCTAAAGCTGTACGGGGGATCTTAGTCTTTTATTTATGTATGGGGAGTGGTGGTGCAGTGGTTAGCGCGCTGCTCTCCGAACCCGGTGACCCAAGCCCGATTCCTACTCACGGCCAACACCGGTGACGACTATCTGGACCGGTCCTGGGCCTCCCCTAGGTCGACTCAGCCTCAAAAACGAGTACCTGGTGCCGTGTGTAAAACATCGCCACTGGGGAGACAAAGGTGCTGACCACCCACCCCCTCGTGTGCCTTGCCGGCGCTCGCTAACAGCACTTGGCCCCAACAGTCGGCTCAGGCTCCGCGGCGGAACTTTTTGTCTCTTTCGCGTCTCCCCCTCTCGTCGCCAAGGACGAAGGCGAGGACCTGCTACGACCTCATCCCCATCTCGTGCCTCACCGAGTTCCCCAACGTCATCCAGATGGCGAAGGTGAGACACGGGGCAACGTCACTCTCCGTGGGCCACGCAAGGGGGAGGGGCGGGGGGGGGCGGGGGGAGGGGTTGGAGGGGGGGCGGTGGGGTCTGTAGGGTAGGATGGACTAGGGACTAGGGGGTGGCGGCTTTTCTTGGGTCAGGGGTCGGCAATTGAAATAGCAAGAGGAGCCGGCGGTCCTCAATAGACGGCGCCTTGGGTGAGCGGCCAACACCGGCGGCGGTTATCTGAGCCGCTCCTGGGCCTCCCCTAGGTGGACTCGGCCTCAAATGAGTACCCGGTACGGTGTGTAAACATCGCCACTGGGGAGACAAAGGCGGACGGGCGTGGTGTTGGCCACCCTCCCCCGGCCTGCTTCGGTGCTCGCTAACAGCACTTGCCCCAACAGTGTGTTAAGGCTATAGGGGGGACCTTTGTAAATATATATTTTTCTTTATTCCATTGGTGTGATGCAACGAATACGTTTCCATCTGTAGCTCTCACCGGGAGCAGCGTGAAATCAAACAGAGAGCTACTTCTGTTTTTGTATTTAGTAAGTTTTTTTTTTAAGTTTAATCTGATTCTGCTATCTGTGGCGCGAGATGGAAGTTTCCGGCTCCGTGCACTGAGAGAAACAGCCCGTGGAAGCGAATATTACAGAACTGCTTCTGAGATGACCCTTCAAGTGGCCTCTTATCCACACACACACATGGGGCAACATTTGCTCGCACGTCCTGCCACATGTTTGCAAATTGCCAGGAGAACCGATATTTTTTTGTATTTTACTAAGCATGTATTTTGACAAATTTAAGTGAAAAACAAATTTAGTGTGCATCACGGTTTGAGTCCATGCATATTGTATATTGAACTTCTTTCGCGCCATACGTAGCCGACCATGCTAATCGGAGTCCATGGTTCTTTATCTGAATATATGGGTCTCTGAATCTATGGATCTCTATGTGAATCCATGGGTCTCTGTGTGAATCCATGGGTCTCTGTGTGAATCTATGGGTCTCTGTGAGAATCTATGGATCTCTGTGTGTGTCTATGGGTCTCTATGTGAATCCATGGGTCTCTGTGTGAATCTCTGGGTATCTATTGTGTGAGTCTATGGGTCTCTATGTGAATCCATGGGTCTCTGTGTGAATCTATGGGTCTCTCTGAATCGATGAGTCTCTATGCGAATCTATGGGTCTCTATATTAATCTATGGGTCTCTGTCTAGAATCTATGGGTCTCTATATTAATCTGTGGTTCTCTGTGTGTGTCTATGGGGTCTCTCTGCGAGTCTACGTGTCTCTGTGTGTGAGTCATTGGTGAATTGGCCAAGACCGTAGCCTCACTGCACTCATGAGTCCTACTTAATTACGGGCAGCTTACACCTGGACTCAAACCCAGGCTCTATGGAATTACCAGCATCTTTGACCTCTCAGCCGCTACTCCCTCCCTCCCTCCCATGGTGATGTCCAGAGGCGTTCGCTCTCTTCCCGTGAAGCGTCCAGCACGCGCGTCCGTGCCCCGTGCAGAGCGTGGATGTTTGCGTGTGGAGGGTGACTGGGTCCCGGTGAGAGTGATGGGCGATGTGACCCTTGACCCCTGATCCCTGACCCCTGACCCTGTCGTTCCAGCTCGTCTGTGAAGACGTCACCGTCGATAGGTTTTCCCCGATTTTGTACCCGAAGGTGAGCAAAGTGAAGTCCATTCATTGGTGCACGAGTTGATGTTGCGGCCTCTAGTGGCTGCAGAGGGACACGTGAACTAATGACCTCCAGCATCCTGTAGTAATAATACAAATGTATAAATAACCATCGCACATTTACAATTTGGGCTACTCTATATTCTCTCAAGCTACGGGGAATAGTAGTCGGTTTTTTACCCTTTTATCTGGCAACAAAACTGACACCTTTTTACAAGGGATCATGTTTGCATTGACCACAATACTTGCGGTCAAAATGCAAACGTAAAAAACAACTCTAATAATGTATGCACTGTCCTTGAAGTTGATTGGTCCACACCCGAGACAGCTTTTCTTAGAGCCTAGTCTCACATGGTGTTGGACCAGATGACGCCAAAAGGCGGACACGGGGAATGTCACGTTACGCGACCACCGTGCTCGCTGCGCAGTTCCGGCCTGTTCGGATACGTGACTGGGCGGATATGTGACGGGTCGGATACGCAACTGGTCGGATACGCGAGGGATCGGATACGCGACGTTCATCCTTAATATGGCGCCACCCCGGCCGACTTCTCTGGACGAAAGTCTTCCCGAGTTAGCGCCCAAGTGCTCGGCCGCGTCACGATCCGTCACGGATTTTTTGTTTTGTTATGTTTAACTTTGGCCACGTTGCGACGATCTGCCCGGAGTCCGCTCGTCGTGACCCCACGGCAGAGGTCGCAACCGGGTACCCGATATCCGTACCCTACCCGATACCCGTACCCTACCCGATACCCGTACCCTACCCGATACCCGTACCCTACCCGATACCCAGCTACCCGTACCCGGCTGTGTGGTGGCGGCGGTGTGGCGTGACAAGTTGACATCGATGTTATTCTAATTAGTATCAATCACCCAGATGGGCTTCTCTGTTCCCCATCTCCCCCCCCCACCGCCCCCCTCCCCGCAGGCGTCTAAGCTCATCGTGACCTACGATGAGCACGTGCTCTCCAACAACTTCAAGTTCGGAGTCATCTACCAAAAGTTCGGTCAGGTGAGCGTCCCTCCGCACTTCCTCCTCCTGCGAGACGGCCACACCGAGAGGCTGGGCTCCACCCCGGGTGTCAGCCGCTGCACCCGCCGCCTGTTTCCGCGCCCTCCCTGCCTCAGTGTGGAGAGTCGATGGCTACGGGGGCCCCGTCACCAATGACTGGAACAAAACTAAAAAACTCAAAA